GGGATATTGGTGACACTTGTTGTTTAGGCAAATACTTTGTACATACTGTAGACAGCTTTAAGATGGAGATGGGCCATAGTCAGTGAAGATCTTAATCTGAAGTTGTGTTTTGGTCTAGGCAAAGGCTTTCAAATGATCTTCATCTGTTCTTGTGAATTGGTAGCTGAAAAAGGACAATGACATTTCGCAGAAAGCAGAAAGAAAACAGACACAGATTTTGGGGCCAGAACAATGAAAAGGAAGAAAATCTGTTTTCATCTTCCTGTATGAAAATTGGAGCTCATTCAGGAATCAAAAATAAAAATCTGTTCTGCTTTTTAAATACAGCCTGTAAATCTATCAAACGTTATAAAATTCCAAAACTAATTTCTTCTAACAAGAGAGTTTATTTTGATCGTGTGATGCAGGAGGCATAAGACTGGCTGAAGCTCCATTATTAACGAGAGATTAAAACAGCTGTACGCTGAGCTGAAGCACCCTCTCTTCCCTTTACAAACATACGGCCCTGGATTATAAGCAGCACTTGACCATTTAAATTACTGCAACAACCCGCTGTACCAGCTGGGCCTTATTATCATAACATCCATGCCCCCTCCTCCACTCTCTGCAAAGATTTCCAAGGAGCACGTTCTATTCCAAGTGCATGACAAAACAAAAAAGAAATAAGATGACAAAGAAATGCCATTACCATTTAAGACGCAATCACTGCATAACACAAACACGGCAGTTTTCACAGACATCTGCCCAATCCTGACTCCCTTTCAAAACAATGACTCCGCATTGATTAGGAACCAATAGAAAGGCAGGTGAAGGACAGGTCAAGGAGGGCAAAGAGACAGAAAATCTAATTTACAGTTCGGAGGTACATAAAAAAGATGTATTTGTGGAGGTGAACCATTATCTCTTTTGATGTTTTTAGCCCGTCTTCCTCCTCCACGTATGCATAATTTCTAATATATAATAGAAGGGGTTATCCGGTGATAATACAGTATGAATGTGACCCTGTCAATGTCAAATGTTTAATATGAAATACAAACTTTATTTCTATGAAACACGAACATGAACACTTTCTGACATACATGAATATGGATCCTGAAATAGGAGGAATGTTACTCATTTCATTACTCTTGGGTTTCAGCCTATAAAACAATCAAAAGAGGTAGCTTTTACTTCAAGCAGGTTAATTAAAATGTGGCCATTTTAAAACAACTGTAAGGCAGGATATTGACACATATTTCGCATTAATCTATACAAAAACTTTCAAAGTAAAAAAAAATCTGACAATGGCTGTGTCATATATAGTATGTAAGCACACACAAATCTTGATTTACACAGCACTCCAAAACATTCTCACTGAATGACAGAACTATAAAGACTTTGAACAATGATCTGCATTCACTTTATGCTCCCTGAAATAAACTTAACTGGACAAAAGACTACAAACTTTTAAAAAATCACAAAAAATAGTTTGCAATTTTCTAAGACTTATTCCTGAAATAGATATTTAAATTATTTTTTGCACATCCCAAATTAATCCTTCAATTGTTTCATTTTTTTAAGATAATATCCCCATTTTCTTTTAAATAATGTATTTTTCTCTTGAACATATTCTTACAGGGTTGGAAACTGCTGACGACTGGAATTTGAAAAAGCTCCAGTACCATAAAATGGTAAAGATTTGCGAGTGCCATTTTAAAAGTACAGATAAAGTGCTGCAAGGGCAGCATATATGTAAAGGCAAAAGGGTACTGTAAATAAAATTGGAAAAAAAGACAAAAGTGAAGAATAGTAAAAGGGAAATGTGGTCTTCTATTTGTTTTTGGCAGCAAACGTGAAAGCACAGGTTTGAAAAACTGTCAACACCAACTAGGTTTCACATAGTAAAAAATGAAAGTATAAGATACAAACTTATTTTGATATCAATAGAGGAATTAAAAAACTATTCCACTAAACTATAATTTATTCCACTGATGAGCTGCTTAAGCTAAAAGCTCCCTAGACATTCAATGCTATTCGCAAGCCCCTGAAGAAGCATTCGATTGTATGTTACATTTAAACCACTAATTAAGAATGGAGTAAATGTTTCAGATGCTGTTTTTTTCTGTTTGTTTTTTTTTCTTTCTAATAGACATAAGGCTGCAAAAGTCTACACTGCCAGGCAGTGAAAGAGCAGACACCCCAGAGGAATGTGGAACTGAAGCCTACTCTTCTTGGAACAAGCCTATCCCTAATGATTAGTACTCTGATCAGCAGAGAGCTCACCCAACTGCTATCACTATGCATGCACAGAGACTGCCAGGCTATATATAATATGTATATTTTACAGAACTTTCAAAGAGCTTCCACGCTTTACACCAGAAATTATCTTATGACAGGCTGGTACAGCATGATAAATGACTTTTGCACTTCAAATGATAGCATTATTAAATTAAAAAAAAGAAATAACACACACATCTTAGTGCTCAGAAATTATTTTAAGGTAATTTTGTGCATGTCCATATTCTAATTCATATGTCCATGTACACATGAATTAGCATGCCTGAAAAGAATATTTATTACAAAGGCTGCACACAGTCCTCAATATTTATGTTTAAAAAGAAGAATAAATAAAATTAAAACGATGATGCAGTTACTGCTCGGAGCGAAAAAAACTTTTCTTTTGTGTTCCCAAGGTACAAAAACTCTGTTATTGGTGAAAAGGAAATAAATGTACAAATGAGGAGGGAGTGATTGAAGGCCTGTGCTTTGAAATTATAAATATCTCAAGGTTGCTTTTTTAAGTCCAAGTAATATACCAGTTGAACATTCTAAACACATGTAAAATGGTTGTTTCTATAGTAACCCATTGACTACTTATTCCTATAATCACTGCCAACTGCACACTTCTCTAGTCCTATATACCCTTGCATAAAAAAGGTTTAATTTCACTGACCTTTTAGAAACACATTGTTAAAAGAAATCCAAGGAATGAAATTCTGTATCACTGTGTTATAAAAGTTAATATAATCAGAAAAGCCATTCTGTGAGAAAAAAGACACAAAATAATCCTTCCTTTATTTGTAAATTTGAATGGAATGAAAATCAATAGAAGGGATTAGTCTGCACAATATATGTGATCTTTAGAATAGTTCTGCAGTGAATTACTTACGCGATTTTGTGTTGGTGAAAAAGCTTACGTGAGAGATATTATACACAAAACTAGTCCGTTGCATTCTTACAAGTGTTCAGAAATAAGAGCATTTCAACATTTTGAAACAACTCCACCTTCACTTAGGGGCAACATTCCACATGCACAAAAATGTATGCTTTTGGCCCAGTAGAACATGACTCTGTTATTGTATGATTTCTACAAAATGTACATTTAAAGCATTAAAGTCAAAGAATACTTGATCATAATCTGTATTAAGATTAATAATACATTTTAGTATAATACAGTACGGCTGCCAATTGTCATGTAAACAAAACTCAATCAAATTAAGTTAAAAAACATACAGTGGATAGGAAGGTAGATTAAGAGGTCAGTAGATCGTGATGTAAACAGGTAATGCTTGAATTTGCTCTTTACTCTCAATTAGTAAAAATTACGCAGGCATAAGTATGATGCACAAAGCCTGGATTATATGATCACAAAGTATTATTGATAAAATAAAAAATACATAATTATAATTATTTTCAGTTCTAAGTGAAGTGTTCTCAGGTAAATGTGACTTCCTTAATATTCGGTCACGCATTCTAAGGTCTTGGAAGTTTATTGGCTGCTTCATGCGACCACATTAAGCTGGAGTGTTGTGCCGCCCCATATTTGTCAGTCTGGAGTCGTTTCAGTGAGACTCAAACCGTGGACACATCTGCTGCCGTGTGGTACATGCAGGCAAACCACTGCCTCGGCCCTGACTCTGCAATTGTGGGATGTATCAAGGGTGAGCAGGAGGAGGAGTACAGAGGACTGGTCAGCAGCTTTGTGGAGTGGTGTGGGGTGAACCACTTGGAACTGAATGTTACAAAGACAAAGGAACTGGTGGTAGATTTCAGGAGGAAAAAGGTCAAACCTACTCCTGTCTACATCCATGGGAGTGGCGTGGAGATGGTGGACTCGTACAAGTACCTGGGAGTGCACATCGACGATAGACTGGAATGGTCTAAGAACATCGAGGCCATCTATAAGAACGGACAGAGCCGACTTTACTTCTTGAGGAGGCTCAGGTCCTTCAATGTGTGTAGTAAGATGCTACACATGTTTTATCAGTCGGTGGTAGCGAGTGCCATTTTCTACGCAGTGGTGTGCTGGGGCTCTGGGATTAGAGCAGTAGATTCCAAAAGGCTGAACAAGCTCATCAGGAGAGCGAGCTCTGTCATTGGGTCTGACCTGGACCCCTTGGAGGTAGTGGCTGAGAGGAGAATGATGTCCAAACTGGAGGCCATCATGGACAACTTCTCCCATCCCCTCTATGACAGGCTTGCAGGAATGAAGAGCACGTTCAGCAATAGACTGATTCATCCGCGGTGCGACAGGGAGCGCTACAGGAGGTCATTCTTGCCGTCTGCCATAAGACTGTACAACGCATCCACCTTGCGTCTTGGCAGAGGCAACAGCGACAGTGACCTGTTTCTGGACTAAACGCATATACACATATACTGCTACATCTGTTCTCTTTCTTTTTCTTTTTCTTTTTCCCGTTTACAACCACTTTTGTGCAATATATGCCAGGGACCTGTGCAATACATTTATATTTATATTTATATCTATGGTTACATCTATATTTATATTCATACGTGTGATACGATTTTCTGTGTACTGTTCTGTTCTAGTTTGCTCTTGTGTGTCCGGACTGTGAGTAACTCTTGTATTGTATTGTATGTATTGTACTATTATTATATAATTCGTTACACTGTGGCTGTGTTGTGTGTGTTAAGCTGCTGTTGCACTGCAATTTCCCTCACGGGATCAATAAAGTATCTATCTATCTGAGAGCCAGCAGAGGAGCGGAGGCCAGACATACCGTCCTGCTCGGTCTTCGTCATCTCCTCCAGTTTCTTCTGCTTCAGTGTGTCCACCACGTCGGCGAGGCTTCCTTTGCGACGCTCGGGCGTCCCGAAGGCTGACCCGGTCAGGAGATCACCGCGTTCACGGGCCCCTTCCTCAGGCTTGTGTGGCGAGGTAGAGTTATTCCGGAAGGAGTAGAGGGAACATACTTTATTGCTGTCAGATTCCTGCGAAGAAGCACACAGGGGGCAGGGGTGGGAGAAAAGAAATGAATTAAGGCTCCACTCTCTCCTATTCAGAGACATTTCCACTTCAAGCGCTGCCCCAGGCCTGCGACTGTTGGCTGTTTTAGCTCCTCAGCTCCAGCTGAGCCAATTCAACTAGCCAATATTTCTGTGACTCTGTGAAATCCAAATTAAACCATTAAAAGCTGGACGTCGTACAGGATTTGTTTTGGATACCAAAGCAAATAATCCTGGCAAATATGGTATGGCAAAAATGACCTAGTGAAAAACACAAAATTCACAAAGATAACAGACAGAAGCCATAGTCTATTGAAAACAGTTAAATAATCTTTACCTCTCGCTCTTACTCCTGCATACAGTATACACCTAGATGTGTGATTTCATGTTTAACCTCCGGTCTTGGTGAAGTGGCTCACCAGCAGCAGGCTTGATTCATGCCTGTGGTCTTCAGGAGTTTGATCCTTGTGTGTTCACGGCCATAAATGCAATTAAAAATGAGAGCCCAGAAAGTTGTGCTTCTCGACAAAGCAAAGCCATATGCGACACCATGAAGGCGAATTCTTCTCTATCTGTGTACATTACTATAAAATGCTCAAAAATTAAAGTAGGTAAACAAGAGACTGTTTTCGAGGGATACACAAATACATAGATATATATTTATTCACATAAACATATAATAAATAATTATTTACTGTATTTTTATAGCATATTTCTTTCCCAAGCACTGTACATGAAGCAGGTGATCCACTGGTAGAGCACATCCACCTGGGTGATAGCAGCAGCCATTATGCACCAGCAGCCTCCCCCCAGAATTAAAAAGACTAGTTAGGACCTCATTTTAATGCATCATCCAAACAATGGCATCCTCCTACAGCACAGCACTCCGATAGTCCGTCCGAGTTTTTTAAATTCTGGTCTACAGTGAAGAACACCACCTACTGGTCTACTCTACCAATACTACCTGCAGCAGCAACTTGGTTTTTCTTACAGTTTTCCTTGGTCTCCCATCCCATTACTAACCAATTCAGCCATATATCTTGTCTTACCTCTCATTCAACTGCAATGTTACCGGAGAAAGGACACTGAAATGGACAGTCCCATCTGCCATAGCACTGAGCTAATCAATATTCACAACCATAATTAATTGTGACCGCATGCTATTAACACACCCTAAACAGGGACTTAAAACTTCTTCCTAAGATATAAAATACCCTTTTTTACAGAGTGTTAACTTCCAATTAATTGCATTCAACCAGGGCACACTATGCAGTGCATTTTACTTAAAGATTAAATGAAAAATTTGAGCCTTTGACTGAATCAGAACAGAAGATTGGGATTTGAGTGGAACTGAAGACAACATCTTTGGATTTTCCTGCCAGCTCACTATATGTGCACCGCAAATGCATTGCAAATAAAGATAACCACACCATTAAAGTTAAAAGTAACATTCCTGTAAGGTAAATAAGTGAAGAAAGGTGAAATGGGGAAGTAAGTTGGCACTGTCCAAGCAAAGATAATCCTTCTAAACATGTAGGAATGCTGTAAGCTGGGAGAGAATGTCAGTGATACATTATGAGATTCATGTTTCACTCTCTGTACTATACAAAGCCCTGTTTCGACACCCAGTAGGTATGGGCTCTCAGTTACTCAGCCAAACGTCTCAAGACTCTTCTTCTGCCTCTTTCGTCTGGCATCTTCAGTGTAAGCCGGACTGCTTCTCCCAGCAAGAGAAAACACAGCTAACTTCTGCAGTCGTATATTTTTTCATCCCTTCAACTTAAGAGCGGGCTTGCACACAGCGAAGCCCCAGTTTTTAATCAGCTGGCTGTGGTTCAAGAGGCAGCCCACACAGACACATGGCAGTGCAGTGGAGCCTGGTAATCAACAGGAATACCTTCCCCACTCCTCCCTGAGCTGCCCAGCGCAAGCACTGTAATTACAGCAACCATTCTGCCAGGCATCACTCATTTCTCTTTACTATTTTAATTTTTTTCCAGTTTCCAGTCTCTGTTTAAAACTATGAAAAAAAGAAATGAAAGACACTGCATCTCCAAACAGGCTTAAATGAATTTCTTCTACCGACAGGTCCATCACGCTTAAAGTATCTTTCAGAAAAATACTAACCATAAAAACAAATACACTGCTAACAGTTAAGCAATTTACAAACACAGATTACTCACTACTTACAAAAATAAGGAATTTGATTAACAGGCCCTTAACTGGAATATTTCCATTATCACTAAGGATAGGAGCTATTCCCACAGATCAGAGTATTAAAAATGCAACACCAAATTCTATTAAAAAAGGTGGATAAAACCAAACCAGGGAACTATAGACAAAGTTAGTCTAACTTCTAGTACTGATAGCACTGAATCATAATTCTGTTAATGATACAGTGATATCACTGCACTGATAGTTACTCAGATCTGAACTACGAGAACCTTTATGAAATAATGGCATTAAAAGAGACACCTTGTGGATTTAGAAAAGAAAGGTCTTGTGTGATTCACTTACAATAATTCTTTGACTGTTGAATAAAGAAGAGGACATAATATTTTTCTACAGAAAAGGAAAGGTAAAAAATCTATAGAATTCCACAATAATCTATGAACTTTGATTGCAAGCTGATTAAAAGAGAGGAACCAAAAAGCTACCTCATGAGATACAGACTAAGAAAAGGTGTTCCACAGGGATCCATTTTAGGCCCCTTGCTCTTCCTGTTTTAAATTAACATTTAAGATCCTGGTCTAATTACACAACTACTTAGGATCCACAGATGATACAAAAAACAGGGACTGAGGCAAATATAGGGGCAGCTGCAAACACTTTAACAAAATCATGGACTGTTTAAATACTTGTCGTTTGAAATTTAACATTTCCAAGTGATCCATCAGGAAGCAGGAACATAAACTGTGCATATCACGTGGGTGTTTCTGAGCTGCAGGAAGCTACACAATAAAGGGGTTTGGGTGTTTATACAAACAGTGTGTGGAAGCAATCAATGAGATTTAACCAAACTGAGAGGAGATCTTAAGTTTTGTAAAATCTAAAAATGAACTTTATGGAATTATTTCTTAGGTTCTAAAAGATAAATAAAAGATTAATTAAGTTAACTAACTAAATTGCAAGCAGCAAAGGTCAAAATATATTAGAAAAGGTAAGATTACTGCAAAGGAGGCTAAAATAAAAAATAGTTCTAAAAAGCAAACTAATAGTGAAGATTAAGGTAAGGTCTTAAGACAATAATCAAAACGTATAGAAAATGAAAGGGATACGGCCAATGTAATAAATGATTTTAATACATTTAATGATATTGAGGAAAAAAGTTATCCAACCAAACCATGTCATGAACTAAATTATTAAGGACACTACTACCCATGGATACATTACTTAATTATGGATCATAATCATAATTTCAGCCACCATGGAGAAAATGACATGGTTTTGTTTCGAATTTGAGAACCTGTTACTTGTGTGGTGCCTTGTGTACTATTTACAGATAGTCCATAAGCAACTAAGTAATTGTATTTATGGGTATTAATCACCTTTCGAATAAGTGTGGTGGCTAAACTGTCCATTTCCTTTTGGCTTCATGCTGTGAATATAACACTAAATTAACCGCCAAAAACATTCACATTTACAATACATTTTCCCATAGTTTGTCCTCTTGTTCACGTTTCTCTGTTGATCCTGAAGGAGTCCACTGGCCCCCTGAAGAAATGCCACTCCCTTAAGAATTTTTAATCACCCCCCCCTCCCCATTAATTTTCTTATGTTGTTTTATGGGAGCTTTGGTAATAAACACTGTAAACTATTAGGTTATAGCAACAGGTTTGCTTTCAGTGCATCTGGTCAATAGTGCTGAGGCCTCAAAGATGACAGGTCTGGCTTTTTTCAGTTCTACAAGACACTGAAGGACAGGCTTGAGGCTGCCAGATCACGTGTGACAGGCTAAATTGAGAGTGGAAATCATTTTGTTCTTTTTAAACTCAATAGTACAAATTATCCCTTTCAATTACTATTATTTTTAGTCTATTAGCCCCACACCATCTTGGTATGAAAGCTAGATACAATCTTACCAGGAATAATCATCATGCTTGTAATGTCAATTCTTCTATCATATATTATGTGTGATCACAAGATAGCTATATCATTGGTGGCTTCTGGGAGCCAGGAAATAAACCCTTGGAGGATAATGCAGCTCATGTCAGCTAACCAAACCTGACCTGCGTATCTCTGGGAAGTGAAAGGAAACCAGAGCATCCTTTGAAAACCCAAGGGACAAACAGGGAAGAGATGTGAACTCCACACTGCATGTGGTCCAGCCTTGAAAGCATCCCTGAGTATCTAACATACCCTGGGCTCTGCTAACTGCTGTGTTTTCTTCGTTATAAAACGTAAAAGATTTTACTCCTTCTGTCAATGGAACAGCTCAAATAAGTAAATCTTCAGTAAAACTCACTAACAATTCAAATTCTTACAAAATCCATCCAAACATTTTCTAACCACCTCTTCCAATTCAGGGTCGCGGGGGGAACACGAGCCTATCTTAGCAAGCAAGGGCACAAGGCTGCCACAGGGACGCCAGTCCACAGCAGGCCAGACACAAAGACAGACATACACACACTCACACCAGGGCCAGCTAAGCCCCCAGTATGTCTTTGAACTATGGGAAGAGACCGGAGCAAACACGGGAAGAACACACAAACTCCACACCGATAAGACCCCAGGTCTGCAGTTTAACACAGGGCCCTGCTGTACCTCTGAGAGGCAGCAATGCTAACCAATGTCCCACTATCCTGCCCAAAAATCTTTTCAAAATATTCAACCAATTCCCACTTTCTCTAGAATGCAATTAAAGCGGCCAAAATGATAAAGCACCACAGCAATCTTCCCCTTACCTCCAATTTATAGCTCTATAAATTTACATCCTAGATGCTCAAGACTAAGGCTGTAAAGTCTTTAAATAAAACACCAGAAAACAATGAAAGTCTACTTCTTCTAGCACCACAGTCCTGCAGCTATCCAGGGTCATACTTAAGTAGCCTTTTTCTCAAGAATATTCTTATTAATTTTATTTTTCCTTGATCGGGTTTAGCTAACACCCTATCACATCCTAACGTTCTCAAATATAATTATCATAAGAAATAACAAAGACGAACAGATGAAAAGAATGCATAAATGCACTATTACATAAACAAATCAAGTATATTCAATGCAGTGTAGACTGATGAATTCATAAGTTATCCACACTTATCTATTGTGAGGTTGGAGGAAAAACTCCTGTTTTAAAACTTTAGTTAATTCATCCCCTATATGAAGGTATACAGATCTATAACATGAAACTGTTCTCTAACATCAACAAGGTTCACCCCCTACACAGCATTAAAACACCACAGGGGTGTAAGATTTCTTCAGCATTCCAATCTACAAACAATGAATCCCTATCAGGACTGTTCTCCTCCTTTAATGTGGCTGAGCACATGCATCTCTGCTGGGAACATGAGCACTGGGAGATCTCGGCAGACCACAGGGGCCAAGGCATCTTTGACAAAACAATCTCAAGGACTTTGTTTCTTTCTTTTCCTTGTGTTTATTTTTTAACACAAAACGCAATTCAATACATTTTGGAGTGTCAAGGATCTCAAGGCACTTTTGATGGCATAAACTTCAAAGACGAGGCTTGGCAAACTGGAAAGTCTTAAGCCTTAAGGAGCCTCTGCTGTCAATGTCCTTGGGAGGAGAATTCCATAAACTCGGAAGCTCAGTGACTTACCACCCTTTTGCTCAGTGACTGTGAAGTACATAAACACACCTACAATATGTTTCAGCACACTATCAAAGCTTTAGAGCAGTGATTACAGCATTTGGCACCAACATTATAAACAAAAATCATTATCAGTGATGATGAAATTATGTACGTTTCTCTACATCTGCAAATACACAAAGAGCACCGACAAATCCTCCTGCAAATTCCATCACCATTTCCACAGTTGACTGAAGTACTATTTTTTGTTAGTGCTGTGCTTTGGCTTTAGATATTGGTGTTCTAACGAATTACCGCGATGCAAGCAAAAAACAAAACACAGTGGATGACGACGTCGTCAATATGACAAAACCTAATATATCTGGCACAAATGCCAAAAAAAGAAGGCTAACCTTCAACACTAATGATATTTAGTGGTTCTGGTAAAGATATCAAGAGGGCATATAAAAGAAATAGCCAAGCTGCAGTCATCTGCAATGCTAAGAAAGATCATGATATATTTGTTACGCTAGAAGATGCTGAGGATTTCATTACCCAACTAGGGGGTCTTATTTCTGCAGCCTGGAGCACAGCCAGAAGCTAATTACAGCAACATCATTTGGGCAAGGTGAAAGCAGGAGTGCCTAAGGTCTCTGCATCAAGCTCTGATTTAGACTTTGTTGTTTTCTCTTCACGGACTTCTTGATGTGGTGAAGGAATCCGACTGAAAGTTTCGTTCAAGCGTCGGGGAGGTAGGGGGGAGGGAGTAAAGACATTCGGAATTCCGGGAGCTCCTGGCAGCCAGCCTTACCATTCGCTGTTGGGCGGACACCATGTTGTCCCAGTCGGAGTCTGGTGGGATGTTGGTGACGACGGTGGGCAGCTCCTCGGGGTGAGGTTTGTTGTGCATCATGTTGTGCAGAGGCAGCTGGGAGGCCATGTGGGGGTCTGCGCTCTCCTCCTTGTCCCAGGACACCCGCTCCTGGTTCATGCTGTCCTCTCCATCAGCGGCAGGGGCAAACGGAGAGGTGGCTTGCTTGGAAGACATTATTCTGGGGAAGAACATGAAGGCCAACAGACACCTCAGTTTACAAGGCTATGCAAATATTTTACAGCTCTTAGACAGTCAGGAGGACTATTTTCCACTATTGTAACGGCTTATCAATATGGTTTTGTTTGAGAGGAAAAAGTAAACTTAAAAAAACCTTTAAAAGCTTACTGTATCATTTAGCAATCTTTCGTTCACATTGAGCAGAATCTTGAAAATCCTAATCATAACATCTGCACGTAAGCTATACATGAGCAGCCAAAGTACACTGTTGTAGTAGATAGTCACTCATATTTACTGATCAGATCTTTTTCAAACGGTTAATTAATTGAGCTATACATGAAGTGTTTTAAATCAGTCACACTCAGGTAAAAGTGGGCATGTGAAGTGATAATGCTATAGATACATTTTCTTCCCAAGCTAGATTGGTTACCCCATGATTTTTAAATTAAGAGTTTGGTGAATTTCCTTTATGTAACTCGATTTTTATATGCGTCATCAAAACAATAAGAGTGACATTTTGTAGTTTCCTTTTAATAGATTACTCTCACTTTAAACACTGTACTAACAATTTACATATTCTGTTAGATTATTTTAATATGTATATTATGCATTGCTATTTGCAATAAAAAATACTTGTCAAAAAAACAAAAACAGTAAAATCAAGCCAAAATATATTTGTATTAGATTAAGGAAATGTTTTTGTATAATATTAAAAAACAGAAAATGTACATGATAAAAACTACTTAACAAGTGAAGATGTAGATCAAATAATATGCATTTTAAACCAGACATACAATTGAAAAACCTGTGTAATATCTCTCAATTTGGGCTTGAAATTAATTGATTTTACACAGCCAGCTACAAAATGCACAAGTCAGTTAATACTGAGCTTTTTTTTTTCAAATTAGCAAACCATTAACTTTTTAGTACTACAGTATTTCTCCAGGCAAATAAATCCTGATTAAGCAGCTTGGAAATCAGAGCCTGGCTGTGGAAGACAAAATTTACAAATCTGTCACATGCTTTCATGAATATTACAGTGAAGGGAGCTCTTGAAATATCAGGTGCAAAGAAAAATAATTAAGTTAATTCCAATTTAAACAGTAGTTTTATGAGGCAGGCTGTGTTTCACATAGGATTTAACAGCTAATTCCACTTTTCTCACAATTAATGAGGAGGCTCTAAGACTGTGTCCTACAGTGAATGAAATTAATATAGGATCAACTAATCTAATTATGCTCTTCATATTAATAACCGTATTATATGGTTTTCCAACTGATTTGAACAAGAAAAGCACTTAAATCTGATTGCTTTAATTCGTCTGCATTTACCTTTTCCCTGTTTTCACTAGATTTTAAACAACTAAAAAATCACTTTAATGGCTGCATATGTTATCTAAGGCTCCAGCACATCATAGACACATTTATCAGAGGCCAGTTTTAAAACTGGTTTTCATCTTCCCATTTATTTTTAGGACTTCAAAGGGTCACATACTAAAAAGAATCGTCTGCTTTCTGTAAAACATTTAAGCACTTTTCCAAATCATAGCAGAAAGCCCAGCACATGAAAACCATGGCTACTCAAGGCCAAGGACTGCAAAGCACTACTGCGACACTGGAGCATGCTGGACGCAGCATTAACACATCACTGGTAAAGTGTGTAACTAAAGCAGCTCAAGTTGTTTCAAAGTTTGTGAACATAAAATATTTACCGTACATTAATCTATTTAGACATACTGTGCACACCATTTGCCTATTATCTATAGTTAAACTATTAAAGCAGATTATTATTCTATATTGTATTGTAAAAGAAAACACTTTTACTATATTGCCAGACATGATAAAATGCACTTTTATTGTAATACTACTGTACATTCCTATAATCTTCCAAGCAAGATATTACATTCATTTGATGTAGTGCCTCAAATGCCATAGGTCGGACATTTCAATGATTCTGTAGCTTTAAATGTATTTTGTTCACTACAGTTACAGAGCTCTACTATCAAATACTATCAAAGACAACACCAAAACTGGGAAATACATTTTTGTTTTACCATAACACACACAAATGGACAACAGAACAAACCATAGTGTACCTTAATTACACACCATAGTGCAGCTGTACAAACAGAGCACGTCTGTCAGTTACTGTAGAGAAGCTTAAAGCTCGGTTTGTTCGCGTGGTGTTTTCTTAAGGAATACTGAGCCCTCAATTTTAATCAGCCAATAAATTGTTTCCTGTAATTATATTAAATAGAAAATTATCTTTAAATTGGTAGTGTTAATTGGAAATCAAAATTAAGAGCAAAGTTCAGAACTTACACGCTGAGTATAATTGTGTAGGGAAAGATTCAGCTCCATTTTTTATTAATGGCTCCAAAAAGGCAATTCTTCCAGTGCTCAACAGAGCTTCACTGAGGGCAATTGAAACAAAGCACTTCTTTTGTATTACACAGTAAATCAAGTAGTATTATTTTACCTCTAAAATATTCAGTCTCTCAGGCACTTTTACCATACTCTCCAGCCATCACTGCTAACTGCTGGACCATGAAAAATTTCACAGGGAGCGAATGGGGCTTATTCCACTCTACTGTAACATGCGTCCACAGTAATCTTGTAAGAAAATGCAACAGATCTTCAGTGGTTTCTGTAACAGTATTTGTCAGGTTGAGTAAATAATTTATCACAAGTGCTCTGAGCCTGCATTCGCCCTATGCACAACTGAAGGGTATACAGCTCAGCTTGAATAGCAGTGCTTTGGCATGAACCCTGATTGAGCCCCTTTGAATGAAGGGCGGACAGGCTCTCAGGTCTGGAATGCCAGAGCATGAGCATAAGCTGGGATGATATAATGACAATACTGTACATGTATTCTGTAATAAAAAAATAGTGATGTAATGTTCCCTTTATGGCCCTTGAGTGACAGACAATGTAGCCCAATGTTTTAGTCACAGCCAAAGAAAAAATATTGACTCTGTCGTTCCTATGTGCCAGCATTTCTACAGTAGGGTCTCTAACACCCACATCACTATGTATCCCAAACCATAATGCATATACTGTGTATTTAGAACCAAAAGTTAAGACTAGACTAGGGAAACAAAATGACTGCAAAAAAAAAACAAATAATAAAATAACACAGTCTTAACAGCAATTACTCAAATGACAGTCTCATTGTACTTGTTTGTACCTTGCAACCTGATACAAGTTTGTACTTCTTCACCCTTATTAGTAATTGTCTGTGTTTCGCACACTTAAATCAAATACGTGCCTTTGTGTGTATCAAGCAGCAAAGTGGGTGGACCCTGAATAAACATAACACACATTCCTTACAAGAAATCGCTTTCCATGGTAGATCACACAATAACAATGGAGCACTAACAAAATCAACTGATCAATAGCTACATTTACTGCAGCCCTAGCTTAAGTCACAGCAGCTTATGTCTTTGAAAAAAAGGCCTATATTTAGCTGACAATATTGCAGTGACTATATTTATAGACCTTAAGAGTTAAGTTCTTTGACCAGAGCTCATATGCCTTGGAATGCTTTGACTCATGAATTGTTTCTGCTGATAATGTTTCATCACGCAACAACCTCTGTTTAATTGGTTAGCATTAGAACTTCAGAGATGGTTGCCTTTAAAGTCTTATGACTGAGCCATGTGTCTGTGGATATCCCATTTCCTCCCTATCGTAACAAGGTCTGACTTTCAGCTCATGGCCTCGCACTGTTGACCTTTTATAGACAATGGCAATAAGTAACTCCACACCACCGCCGTTAGCTGGATGTGTCTCCCTATTAATTACAGGTCACTTCAGGAAGAAAATATTAGCCTCTTGCTACCATCACAGAAAAAAAAAACAAGCAAGCCATTGTTTGAGAAAATAACTACAGGAAAATATAATATGGTTAAGGAATATTTGTCACAGCACTCTAAATTTCCAGGAATGTAGAATAAAGCAAGGAAAAGGCACAGAACAGAGGAAAATCAAGGAGCAGAAAATACCAGTTATTATTAAAAAGGAACAGCAAAAAGTACACATTTTCACAAACTATTTTGCTTTTTTTTTTCTTCGAGAGAGAGATACAGAACTGTCAAAGAACGAACCATTTCAAAATGTGTCATAAATGTTTTGCAGACATAAATATTATGGAAAGAACTGTTCAGAGATTAAATGTGATTTATAGTATGGTATGCTTTTAATATACGAGGGACTTAAAATTATAGCAAGAGGCCTGTAAATCTTTTACAGATAAGACAAAAGTTGTTTAATCCACATCTGTGTGCTTTACAGAAACCTTGCCACTGATTAGTAAGCATCTGACAAAATCCATAGCATTAAAGTACATGACAGCATTTGACTGTAAGGGAAAT